GGTGAATGAGTGGATGAACGAGCAGGCAGAGACATGGATGCCTGATGTTGTATAGACTGAATGCCTGTGTCCTTCCAAATCGCCTACAGTGAATCCCAATCCCAACGTGTCAGTCGTTTCCTTCATCAAGGAGATTACTGTCATTGTACAGAGAACCTGGGTTGGGACTATAGCTCAGTGGAAGAATGTCTGCCTAGGTCCAACCTCCAGCACTGGAAGAAAAAACTCCAAACACACTCAAAACATCTCAGAACTCAGAGAGGCCTAAAGCCCTCTTCCTTTCATCTGAGGACAGGAGAGCTCTCACTACAACTGACAGACTGGCACCTTGACCTCTGACTTCCAGTCTCCAGAATCTACTTGGAAAAGCAGATTTCTAAGAGCTGGGCATGGTAATGAACGCCTTTAATATCACCACTCAGGAGGCAGAGGCAGGTAGATCTGAGTTCAAGCAGGCCTGGTCTACAGAGCAAGTTCCAGAATTGCCAGGGCTACGTGAACCCAAACAAAACAAACAAACAAAAAAGCAGATTTCTGCTGTTTCTATGTGCCTAGTTCATGGGACTCTCATAGCAGCCCTAAAGGGTTAAGATACATGGTATGTTATCACTGTTCTATTGCTGTGAAGAGACACCATGAACAAGGTAACTCTTGTGAAAGAAAGCATTTAATTAGGGGCTTCCTTTCAGAGGTTTAGTTTATTATTATCTTGGCAGAGAGAGAGAGAGAGAGAGAGAGAGAGAGAGAGAGAGAGAGAGAGAGAGAACACACAGACTGGACCTGCCAGGGGCTTTTGAAATCTCAAAACCCACCCCCAGTGACACACCTCTTTTAACAAGGCCATACCTCCAAATCCTTCTAGTCCTATGAAAAAGTTCCATTGTTTGGTGACTAAGCATTCAAATATATAAGCCTACGAAAGCCATCTTATTCAAACCACTATATTCCACTCCCTGGCCCCTATAGATTTATAGTCATATCATAATGTAAAAATGTATTCAGTTGCCGGGCGATGGTGGCGCACGCCTTTAATCCCAGCACTCGGGAGGCAGAGGCAGGCGGATCTCTGTGAGTTCGAGACCAGCCTGGTCTACAGAGCTAGTTCCAGGACAGGCTCCAAAGCCACAGAGAAACCCTGTCTTGAAAAAACAAAACAAAAATGTATTCAGTCCAACTTTAAAAGTCCCCAAAGTCTATCACAGTCTCAACCCTGTTTAAAAAGTCCAAAGTTTAAAGTCTCTTCTGAGATTTATGGCAATTTCATAAGTGTAATCTTCTGTAATATCAAAATCAAAGAGCAGATCACTTACTTCTAACATACAATGGCACAGAATACATGTTACCATTCAAAAGGGTAGAGAGGGGAGGGAGCTGTGGTGCTATTCTTGTTTGTCAACCTGACCATATGTGGAGTGGACTACAGATCCAGAAGAGAGGGCACCCCTGTGGGAGATTTTCAGCTTGGTTTGAAGTGGGTGACTGCACTTCTAGTCTGGATTTTTGAGGTAAGAAGACACAGACTGTGATCTGGATATTAAGGCAGGAAGACATAAGCCTTTGATTTTGATCTAAAGGCTGAAGACACAGGTCTTTAATTCAGATCTTAAGGCAGGAAGACATCCTTAATATGGGCTATGACTTTAGCTGGAAGTCTCTACAAGGACATATAAGAAGGAAGCCTTCTTTCTTTCCCTGCTTGGCCTCGCCTTGCCAGCACCTCCACTGGCATTGGAGCCTGCTTCGTCGGGATCCCAGCACATACAGAAGACCAACTGAGATACCCAGCCTTGTGGACTGAGCAACCGCTAGATTCTTGGACTTTCATTTCACAGCTACCAATTGTTGGATTAGCTGGATTGTTAAGTCAGTCCAATAAATCCTCATACATATATATATGATATCATAAATATATATATGTGTGTGTGTATGTGTGTCTCAAGAATCATTCCATAAATTCTGTGACTCTAGAAGCCCTAAGTAATACAGATTTCTGTATCAGCAGTGGTTCTAGAGAAGCAGAAGTATAAGGATGAATCTTATCCTTTTTACATATCTGGGATAAGCTTTTCAATTCATCAGCACCTTCAGCTACTGAAGTCTCTCTAGTCATGCTGTTTCCTGGGAGCCCAGAGAGTACCGAAAGCCCATGGCATGAACTATACTACAAACTTAAAGAGATAAATGCATTTGATTATCCTGAGTCATCCATTGTGAGTGGCAATGGAGTTGCTGACCTGTATATGAAACTTCTGACAGCTTGGGGGAAATGATGTTTCTGTCTGGGTAAACTGATAGAGGATAGGAATGAGCTCTGGGATAAAATTAACTAACTTCAGAATTTGGTGAAGGACTATAAAGAACTTACTGATAAGATTGATAAGGAGGGGGGGCTTTAGGTACACATAAACAGCTTAAAGATTTCTAAGTGTGCCCTGGAAGGGAACCTTATCTTAAGCAATCATAGAGCTCGAGAAAATCAAACTGAAGTCCTTTTTATAAATTTGGCTGAATTATATAAAAAATTCAAGACCCAGGCTCAGAAGGTGTCAGTGGTTAATGGAAGGGCATTAACTGGTCAAGAATGGGGTGGGGACGTGTGGGAGGACCCTAGTAAAGCTGAGAACTTTGAGCCCCCAGATTCTCAAGAGTTTATCCCACCTGAGGAAGTAGTACTCTCAGCCCCACCCCTTGAAATACTGCCTTTTTCATTTTTCACTGAGGAAATTAATCCTTCATTGGCTGCTAAACCAGGAGCGAAGGTCATGCCAGGAAAGAGAATACTGATGACTCCCATTGATAGTTGCCTTAGACCCTATAACCAGACCTAAGGCAAAGCAGGCTCCTAAAGGGGAAGTAGGAAGTACACTCAAGGAGGAGGGGCACTATACTACTAAAGAGCTTAATGTGTTTGCTAATTCATTCAAGCAGAAGTCTGGGGAGTACGTGTGGGAATGACTCTGGGACTTTCTGTCCATAGCCAGCCACTACTGGATTAGCTGGACTGCAGCCTGTAAGTCACTTCAATAAATTCCCTTTAGATATGTATTCATTCCATGAACTCTGTAACTCTGGAGAGACCTAGTACACAGTGAGTAGAATGAGGAAAAACTGGACCAAAGCAAGTTGAAAACCAGCAGGGCAAACTCCAAATTCTTTACCTTCATGTCAAAATGTCCCTCATATATCCAAATCTGTTCAGCTTTGTTGACTGTAACACATTTCTCTCTCTTGGGCTGGTTCTACACCCAGTCTGTAGCTCTTCTTGGAATGTATCCCATGACTCTGGCATCTCCAACATCATGGGGTTTCTGATGAAATCCAGATTTTGCCTTCACAGATTCATGCAATGCCTCTTTGGGTCTTGATTCAGGGACACCCCTGACACACACATGGTCCCAAGTGACTTTCTTAGCCATGGAGGGAGATTCCATAACCCCTTTCTTGTATTTTTGACCCTAAAGCCAGAACCATGTGGTCAAAGCTGCCCAGTTCTGCTGCTTGCTGGGGCTGGAACTCGGCCCCTCATTAATCACACTCGCTTCAGCTTTCTGTGGTTGGTGATTCTGTCATTGATTAAACTTTTCTTTAACTCCTTTTCTGAGTTGGAAGCTTAGCTGGGCGGGGTCTTGCCCTGAGGTCACCACTCCCTTTACAAGGTATGGCATCAGGCTATTTTTTTAATCTCCTTGAGAACTGGATTCAGCTCCACTACATTTCCTAGAGCTCTCATTCTCCTCAAACTGTAAATTTTTTATTTTTCGTTGCTTAGTTTGCTCTTTTTCACTCTAGATCTGCAGAAGACTGGGCACTAGTAACCAAGCAGCAGAGTCCATACTAGGCTATCTTGAAATCTCTTCTGCCAGTGCCATTAATTCAAAACTCTTCAATTTAGCTTCAGGCAGATTTTTCAGTCAGGGACAAAAAGCAGCTAAATTCTTTGCCAAAATATCACAAGAAATGTCTCTAGGTTCCTTACTAATATTCTTCCCATCTGAAGCTTCTTGAGCTGATTTCTACAGTTAAAATCACCCTTACCACACTGTTTTTCATGCTCCTATTAGGATGGACCCTTAAGTCTCACTTTCTAGTACTAAGTCCCAATGTCTTCTGTATTCCTCCAATGAACAGAATGTCTGTCACAACAAAACTTCACTCCCGGTACCAACTTCTGTCTTAGTCACTGTTCTATTGTTGTGAAGAAACACCACGACCAAGGCAACTCTTAATAAAGACAGCATTTAATTGGGGGCTTGCTTACAGTTTTAGAGGGTTAGCCCATTAATTATCATGGTGGTGAGCATGGTGGGGACATGTAGGCAGGTGCTGGAGCAGTAGGCAAGAGCTATATTCTGATCCACAGGCAGGCAGACACACACACACACACACACACACACACACACACACACACACGCGGCTTGCCATGGGCTTTTGAAACCTCAAAGTCTACTCCCAGGGACATAGTTCCTCCAACAAGGCTGCACTTCCTAATCCACTAATCCTTATAAAGAGCTCCACTCCCTGGTGACGAAGCATTCAAATATATGAACCTATAGGTCCATCTTATTGAAACCCATCACACATGGAAAACATAATATCGTAAAGACAGATTCCATTGTAGACCCCAGGCATCTGAGGCCTCATGGTGTAGATGAATTCGGCCCTCCCTCAAACCAAAGGCCAATAAAACCTGAGCCAGACAACAGCGCTGATGGCCATTCCCCCAGTGAGAGGAAGATGAAACATTTCATGTGGCCATAGTCTCCTCTCTAAAGGCAGTTTTCAGTTAAGTCTGTGGTTTTTGTGTAGCTATTTCCACACGAGATATGGTCCTAGGAACCTGGCTGATAACTGGGCTGTTTGATGACCTCTGTGTCCTAGAAGCCCAGCAGCGCTGATTGGCTACTTCTCAAATTAATGAGTGTCTGTGGCCATAAGAAGAGGAAGTGGCACAAATTGCTGGCTGAAATTCTGCCCATACCCATAAGAGGCCCAACTCCTACCTGTGCTCAGGTGTGAGCACCGCCTCTCTGTAGTCTTCATCACCTTCAGAGGAGTCAAGCTTGGAATGGTCCTGCCGCAGTAGCTGCTCCCACTTCTGCTCCATGGCCTGTTCTCTTTGTGGGGGAAATGAGAGCGTGAGCCGGTCATCAGCACTACCCTTTCTGCACCCATCTCCACAGGCTGCAGGGATTCTCCCCATCCTCTAGAACATGGCAGGCCTAGGAAGTGCCAGGTTACTTTCCTGGTATCTAATATCTACTTCCTGAGGGGTGGAGTTCTATGTCTCTAGTGGGCAAGGCTGAAAGAAGGCAGCTTTGGCTGCACAGCGTTCAGCACGTTTTCATTTGTGATCTTGTTTGAACATATCAGGGCTCAATCACATGATGAGAGGACGCTTGTACCCCCTGGTCCTCGGCAGCCCAGAACCTTCCCTCCCATTATCATGGACCCTTGGAAGAACAATTCCATTTCCTGCCAAGGTCCTAAAAGCAGCCTTATACCTGATCATTTCTAGTCCATGTGACTGGTTCTCTCATGTCACATGTCTAACTCTTCAATCCCCAACCAACCTAGAACCTAGCAGGTCGGGACGTAAGACCCATCAGAAGCTTGGAGCCCTCCATAGGCCCTCGCTCTCTCAGCTCTGCTGCATTCTCACCATCACCCCACTCCTCGAGGACAGTCTGTGCATGCACAACAACATACTCTGGCCCCATAGGACGCTTCTGTGATTCAGCAGGTGTTTGGGTCCAACCAGTTTATCACGTCATTGCTTTGTCTCCTACCACATCCCTCTTACCTGTCAGCACCCAGAGTTCCTGTCACAGCCTCCCAGGAGCAGCATGGCCTGTCCTATCTGCCTTTACAAGACATCACCCCTCCCCCTGCAAGGTTCAAGGACCAGCCTGCTATTTGGGGCCCTTTCTTAGCAACTTGACAATATGGAAAATACCAGATTCAAGATATGTCCCGGTGAGGATAGTAATACCATTAACTCCTACATCAAGTCTCCATCTCAAGATATGTCCAGGTGAGGAGCGTGGCACCATTAACTCCCTACATCAAGTCTACATCTCAAGCAACAACGACAACTAAACAATAGTCCTGAGATATTAAAAAACAAAACCACAGAGGAAGGAGACAGATTGATTCTGAGAGCAGACAGAATGGATAAAACTAGGGAAAACAACTGTCCATCCCATGAGTATCCCTAACTCTACTCTGGGCAAGCATGCAGGGCTGTGAGTTCTGAGGGCTGTGAGTCCTGACCAAAGATCCTGTGAAGACAGGCAGGGATGCTTCCAGCAGCAGTTAGGAGGCAGGAGATCAATGTGCCTGTGCCTGTGCACAGACCTGCATTTAGTCTATGTGTACACATGCACACAGGAAGGACGGAGAGGAAAGAATTAGGTCACGAGAATAATGAACAATCATCTGCTTACATGCCACCAAACGGCAGGTCAGCCAGCAGGCCCACACAGGAGCAGCTGTTCCTGGCCACTTCACAGCATGAGGAGTCGGCTGGGCACAGGAGGAGTCTGCAGTCCCACTCCAAATGGCCCCTCCTCCTCCCTGAGAGTCACACCAAAAGAGACTGACAGGTGCTGGTCGCTGACACCAGCTAGGAGACTTCGACTTCTGACCAACTTTTGCCTTCAGAAACTGCAGAGGGGAACAGTTCTCTCTGAGCAGTGGTGGTGCTGTGTGACAGGAAGAAGGCCAGCGTGACCAGATAACGTGAGAAGGAAAGGAGGCCAAAGTTGCTGATACAGCACAGGACAGAGGCCAGACTCAGGCCGAACCACAGCTGTCTTCTTTTCTATGGCCCTCTGACGGGACACCCTTGTGCCATGAACTGGGTAAGGGAGGAGGCTGGGAGCAAGAGGGACCTGGGATGAGGGCTTTGATCCTCATATAGTTGGAGGCACCCGGCCCTGGACCTGACTGTGAGCTATGTTTCTTCCTAGTCAGAACACACAGGGTAGGCCATGCCTGCCAGGAAGGCTGCCCCACATCCCCACAGGGAGCTGCCCTGAGCCCTCAGTCTACATTTGTGTCATTGCATGCTCACCTCTTCTCTCGCAGTAAGTAGTCTAGGTTGTTGACATAGCACTCCGAGCCCCCAGAGGAAATCTGGAAAGACAGGACAAAGGCATGGGGAGGATTTGGCATGAATGTATTCTGCTCGCTTTTCTGAACCGATGATATGGTCACATGAGTTTTTAAAAATTCAGAATAATGAAGGGTCTCTCCCAGTACCTGGCTACAGGCAACCCCAGGTGAATGTGCTTGTGGGCTTTCAGGTGTTGCTATACCAGGACAAGCAAGCAGTAATTTCATCAACCCCTGTAATTCAAACAGAATATGCCACACGTCTCATCCTGCACTGTGCTCTTTCCAATCAGAAATACATCTTGAGAGTCATTTCATATCATTGCCAAAGAGATTGTGTATGTGTGTACATGTATAGGTATTTGTGTGTATGTGTATATATGCACATGTGCATGTGTGCGTAAGTGTGTGCATTGGTTTGCAAATGTATGTGTGTGCATGTGTGTATATATGTGTGTACAGGTTTGCGTATGTATGCATGTGCATGTGTGTATACGTATATATATATGTGTGTGTGCATGTGTATGTATCTGTGTGTGCATGTTATATGTTCAATTGACATTGCCAGGTTGTTCTTATACATGACTAGAACACAATTCATTAGTTCTCCAGTGGCAGGCATTTAGGCTACTGACAATCTTAGGCTACTGGATATAATTGAAACACTATGCTTGGAATAAATTTCCTGAGTCTATGGGCCCTTAAGCGTCCCCCACTGTGCTTCCCACAGGACCTCCCTGAGTCTCCATTTAGGATCTCTATTACTGCACTCCAGTCAGTCTTTGTGTGCTACCAAGCCCAGATCCTGGCCCTGAGGTCCTTCGTTGCTGCAAGATCGGCCCCTAACCTTAGACATAAATGCCATGGGGGCCCCCATGCAGAAATGGCATTGAATCTGGTGCTACCCCCGGCTTTCATCAGGAAGACTTAGGAGTAGAAACACGGGCAGGAGTGGAGCCTGGCTTGAGGCCTGCACGCTCAGCTGTGAGGGCCCTTGGGCTGGGGAGAGGTTAGATATATAATCAAGCAAGAGTTGGGCAGGGGGCTAAGTGCACAAGGAGAGTTGGGGTACGGCTATGGGAAGGGGCAGCCAGAAAGGGTGGGCTTGTGGGCAACTAAGAGGGGTCACTAAAAAGAGGCCAATGATCTAATCTACATGGGAAGTAGAAAAAGACAAGATCTCCTGAGTAAATTGGGAGCATGGAGACCTTGGGGGAGGATTGAAGAGGGGAGGGGAGAGGCAGGGAGGGGAGCAGAGAAAAATGTAGAGCTTAATAAAAATTAAAAAAAAAAAAAAGAGGCCAATGAGGTAAAGTCGAGGTGGTGGGGGCGGGAAGAGGCTTACTTACCTCTGGAGTCACAGCCTGTTGACTCGGACCTGCCATGCTCCAGAACAGTTCCTCCAGTGAGGCCAGCCCTACCTTCTGGCCTGGGGGCTTCTTCTCCAAGTCCTTATGTGGTCTCCTGTGAAGCTGAAGTACCTTCTTGTTCTTGTTCAGGAACTCTATAGGTGGTGGGCTCCAATCAGTGGGGAACGAGTCTCGAGGCATCTGCATCTTGGGCCTCTTCAATGGTCTGGGAGGAAGAGCCACCGTGGAGCTGGAGAGCGGTTGCACTGAGCAGAGAAGAGCGTGGTCCTGAGTTAGGAAAAGGACAGGCAGGCACAACAGTGGCTTGAGCCCCTGTGGATATGAAGGAGTACTATGGTGTCCCCATCTACCCCATCAGTGTCCCAGACATTAAATCACACTGGGTATAGAGAGGGACGATTTGGAATTGCTATGTATTGATTGTAAGGGTAATAATTCCTCCATCATGACGCCTTTGGCCCTGCCCTCATCATGTTTCTACCTGAGCAGGTAATGCCTACCTCCTCAACAAGGAAGGCAAGCAAAGTCTTCTGGTCCTGGGCATCTGAAAAGTTTGGGATGCTCTGTCCTCAACGGAACTCCTTGACAGGTGAGGTGACCTCCAAAAGAAACCTAAAGACTAAATCCTTGTGTTTCCCAGAAGGAAGGGCCTGGTTCCCAGGAGGAATTCCTTCTCCAGGACTGTTACAAGGAGTAGGCATTGTGCCTGAGAGATAAACTGTATTCTAAGATGACATCATGTCCCACATCATCCTGTCTGAATTTAGGAACTCCTATTCCAACTGGTACCATCCTGTTTGTTACAAGAGGTGGGGCCGGGTGACCTGGTCTCTACCATGTCTCAGACTTGACAGTGGTTGGAGGCTCACATATTTTGGTTGAGTGCTGCTGGGAAGGACCAGGATCTGAGGGACAGGTCTGGATGAACTGCAGTAAAGGTGAACAGCTAGCGAGAGCCTAGAACCCAGCAATCAAATAACGCGACAGTTTACACAAGTTTACTCTAAACCAACTAGGATTCATGCTCCACAACAGTGGAGAAAATTCAAATCAATATAACTGGGATATTTTACTCAAAACATTAAATTTTTAAGACCTAATCAAAATATATAAAAATGATTACAATGATTATTGACATGTGAGAAACAGATTAATACTTACACTTAAAAAAGCTTATTTGGTTACATCAAGGAGGCTCAGCTGGGAAAGATGTTTGCTATGTAAATTTGGAGAGACCCGAGTTCAATTCCTGGGGCCCATGTGAAGGTGAGAGAACCAGCTCCACAAAGATGTCTTCTTTGGGGCTGGAGAGATGGCTCAGTGGTTAAGAGCATTGCCTGCTCTTCCAAAGGTCCTGAGTTCAATTCCCAGCAACTACATGGTGGCTCACAACCACCTGTAAAGAGGTCTGGTGCCCTCTTCTGGCCAGCAGACATACACACAGACAGAATATTGTATACATAATAAATTAAAAAAAAAAAAAGATGTCTTCTTTGTCTGACCTCTGTACACAAATCATGGTATGCATGCGTGCACACAAATTCATGTATACACACAAATAATAGAATACATTTTAAAATGACTAATTTCTTTTCTTCAATGTTTGTCTTTCAAGGCAGGGTCTTACTATGTATGTAGCTCTGGCTGTCCTGGAACTCACTATGCAGACCAGGCTGGCCTTGAACTCCAGAGATCCATCTGCCTCTGCCTCTCAAGTGCAGGGTTAAGGCATGCACCACTACACCTGGCTAAATGGCTTATTTTTTAGGGATCAATCTATCAATTGAGCATAACCACACACAAAAATGTCTATACTCTGGAGTGACATCAACACTGAGTGCCTCAGGAAACCCCTAACATATGGGCCATCACAGGTCTTTATGAATTAAGCTGGTAAAACTCTCAGAAGGAATAATTCATGAACTATGAAGATTAATTAAAACAACAAAAAAACCCAAAACAACAAACAAACAAAACAAGCAAAAAACTAACAGCAGCCAGATGTAGTGGCTAAGCTATTCAAGAAGCTGCAGCAGAAGGAATACCTGACCTCAGAAGTTCTTTGCCATTCTAGGCAACAAAGCAAGACTATCTCTTTAAAAAAAAAAAAAAAAGGCAAACAAAGGGGGCTAAAGAGATGGCTCACTGGTTAAGAAAATAAGAACACTCACTGTTGACAGACCCTCCAAGGAGCACCAGAGGAGGCCTGAGTGACCCACCCATCAGGGAGTCAGAAGCAACCCACCTGGGAGCAGTGAGCTACTGCAACCAGGGCCTCGCCTCTACTTGAGGAATGACCATCTGAGCCTTGGGCCCCTTGCATCTGGAGGAAATATCACCCGAGGCTCTGCTCTGTCTAAACCTGAAGGAGTGGTCCACAGAGCCACAGCCTCCAAATACACCAACTAGAGGAAGAGAGACCTCCTGAAGCACAGGCTCCATCTATACCGATTGGAAGAAGACATGGGTAGACAACAAGGTAAGAATACACTCAACAACATAAAGAGCAATATGGCACCACCAGAAACAGTGGCTCCACAACAGTAAGATATGAATACTCCAATGCAGATGAAGCAGAAGAAAATGACCTTAAAAATAACTTCATGAAAATAATTGAGGGGGCTGGAGAGATGGCTCACAGGCAAAGAGCACTGGCTGCTCTTCCAGAGGTCCTGAGTTCAATTCCCAACAAACACATGGTTGCTCACAACCATCTGTAATGAGATCTTCTTTCCTCTTCTGGCATGGAGGTATGTAGGCAGGAGGAACATTGTATACATAATAAGTAAATAAATCTTAAAAAATAATTGAGATCCTTAAAGAGGAAATGAAAAATTCCCTTAAAGGAGGAAAGGAAAAGACAAAAAATTGGAAGAAATAAAAAAACCAGGAAAAAAAGCAATCAAACAGGTGAAAGAAACGATTCTAGACTTGAAAACTGAAATAGAGACAAAAAAGAAAACACAAACTGAGGGAATTCTAGAAATGGAAAATTTGGGTAAACAAACAGGAATTACAAATGCAAGCATAACCAACAGAATACAAGAGATGGAAGAGAGACTCTCAGGTGTTGAAGATACAAGAGAGGAAATAGATTCATTGGTCAAAGAAAATGATAAATCTAACAAAAACTTAACACAAAGTACCCAGGAAATATGGACACTATGAAAAGACCAAACCTAGCCTGGCGGTGGTGGCGCACACCTTTAATTCCAGCACTCGGGAGGCAGCAGCAGGCGGATCTCTGGGAGTTCGAGGCCAGCCTGGTCTACAAGAGCTAGTTCCGGGACAGGCACCAAAGCTACAGAGAAACCCTGTCTCGAAAAACCAAAAAAAAAAAAAAAAAAAAAAAAAATCATAGAAGAAAACTTTCTCAACCTAAAGGACATGCCTATGAAAACACAAGAAGCTTGTAGAACTCCAAATAGACTGGACCAAAAAAAAAAAAAAAGTTCCCTCACCATATAATAATCAAAATGCAAAAAATACAGAATAAAAAAAATATTAAGAGATGTAAAGGAAAAAGGCCAAGTAACATAAAAAAAGCAGATCTATCAGAATTACGCCCAGCTTTTCAATGGAAACAGTGAAAGCCAGAAGGTCCTGGACAGGTGTTATATAGGCACTAAGAGACCACGGATGCAAACCCAGACTACAATACTCAGCAAAACTTTCAATCACCATAGACAGATAAAACAAGTATTTCATGACAAAACCTATTTAAACAATATCTATCCATAAATCCAGACCTATAGAAAGGACTAGAAGGAAAACTCCAACCCAAGGAAGCCAACTACTTTCATAAAAACACAGGCTATAGATGACCTCACAGTAGCAAATCCCAGAGAAGGGAAACACACACACAATACCACTACCAACAACAAAAACAAAAATAACAGGAACTAGCAATCACTAGTCATTAATATCCCTTAATATAAATGGACTCAATTTGCCTAAGACACAGGCTAACAGATTGGATACGAAAACAGAATCCATCCTTATCCTGCAGACAAGAAACACAACTCAACCTTAACCTTAAAGACAGACATTACCTCAGAATAAAGAATTGGGAAAAAAATCTTCCAATCAAATGAACCTAAAAAAAAACCCAAGTTATCCTAATATCTAACAAAATAGACTTCAAACTAAAATCAATCAAAAGAGATAAAGAAAGACATATTAGTCACAGGAAAAATCCATCAAGAGGAAAGCTTAATACTGAATATCTATGCCTCAAATACAAGGGCACCCACATTTATAAAAGAAACACTTCTAAAGCTTAAATCATACATTAAACCCCACACACTAATCGTGGGAGACTTCAAAACCCTACATTCACCACTGGACAGGTCTGCCAGAAAAAAATTCAACAGAGAAATAAGAAAACTAACAGATATTATGACTCAAATGAACTTAACAGACATCTATAGAACATTCCACCCAAACACAAATGAATATAACTTCTTCTCAGGACCTCATGGAAAAATTGATCACATACTTGGTAACAAAGCAAACCTCAACAGATACAAAAAAAAAAATTGGAATAACCCCATGAATTTTATCAGATCGCCATGGCTTAAAGTTAAAATTCAACACCAACACTAATTACAGAAAGCCCACAAATACATGGGAATTGAACAATGCTCAACTGAATCATCAATGGATCCATGAAGAAATAAGAAAGAAATTAAAGACTCCATAAAATTCAATGAAAATGACTGAACAACATACCCAAACCTATGGGACACAATAAAAGCAGTACTAAGAGAAAAAGTTCATAGCACTAAATAACTACATAAAGAAGCTGGAAAAATCCCACACTTAGTGAGTTAACCGTACACCTGAAAGAGCTAGAACAAAAAGAAGCAAACTCACCCAGAAGGAATAGACAGTGGAAAATAATCAAATTGAGGGCTAAAATCAATAAAATAGAAAAAAAGAAAACAATACAAAGAATCAATGAAACAAAGACTTGGTTCTTCGAGAAAATCAACAAGATTGACAACTTTTATCCAAATTAACCAAAAGGCAGAGAGACAACAGACACTGAGGACAGTCAGGGAATCATCAAGTCATACTTCAAAAATCTGTACTCCACAAAATTGGAAAATTTAAAGGAAATGGACAACTTTCCGGATAAAGTACCACATACCAAAATTAAATCAAGACCAGATAAAAATTTAATAGATTTACAACCCATAAGAAAATAGAAACAGTCATCAAAAGCCTCCCAATCAATAAAAGCCCAGGACCAGGTGGTGTCAGTG